ACCTACCCAGGGTCACAATAACCATGTTGAAACCATCAGTTACTAAAAAAGAAATGTTTGGTAACAGCCTTAGTGTTCGGATTTTAATCAATACCAAGAACATTGTTTTGTAATAGCTTCATTAAATGAAATCACTAAGTAACTTATTTATATTCTTTTCCAGGTTTCCTCTGAAAGGTCCGGGCAGTGAGCATGCTGAAGATATCCCATCACCGAGTCCTCCCGAAGGCGCTAATGACTTTCTCTGGAGCGTTCCTTTTGTGTTAAACAGAAGAGAAGGGTCTTCCTGACTTGGACTTTTTATCACGAAGCTCCCCGGACTTTCAAATTGACTTGATTTATTTATGTATCCGCGTTAGGGTCACCTCGGTCAGTCTTATTAGCTTAGAAAAAGCCAACTCTATAAGAAAATTCTACAACTGAGGTGTTACACAAGCACATTTTCTATTGTATTTTTTTTTTTTTCTTCAAAAATATAAGAAAAGGATTTTTTTTAATGTTTAGATATAATAATGTATTTTTTATTTATTGTTAAATTTAGATATGGCGACAAAAGATCTAGGTTTGTAATGCCAAACGAAAAAAAAAAATGTAAACTAATATTTAAGGACAATACCAGAATAGCTTATTCTATATTTTTCAAATGGTATAACCGATTAGCCAAATACTGTAGAATTTTAAAAAAAGTTAAGTTAAAAAGTTTATTTTAATTTTTAAAAAGTTAATAAATTTTTCGACTTATTTTATTATCAAAAGGTTTTCAATGTGAAAGATTGTATTAAAAAATACATAAATAAAATTAGTCTAAAATGAATAGTAGCAAAGTATCAAAAAAATGAAATAACGGAACAAATTTGAATAAAAATTACCTAAATCTATAGTCTGTAAGTTGAAACAATATTTTTTTTTATGGTGGCCCCAAATTATTTACAGCTATGAACTCTCCTTATTTCTTGATCCGCTCCTAGATATCTTTATCCTCTAGTAATAGAAAAACTGTAATTATGATTTATTTCGGAGAGGTAAATAGTTTTTAGAGTTATTTAGCAATGAATCTCTACCATAAAAAAATACAAAATAAAATGTGAAAACTCTCATATTAGCTTTTGACAACGACTTGGAATGTTGATATAACGGTATAAATTACCTTTATATCAGTCTCGAAGTGTTTAAAACCTAAAATGTCATATTAGATATCTTCAATAACTATAAAACAATCCATTTTTAGTTATTTCAACTAATGATTTGTAATCACATAAAATCCTTTGTTATTTACAACGTAAGTAAATAAAATCTTCTAAAATAATACATTATTGAGTTTGCGATAACAACAATTTATATGACATCGTGATGACGAGCGTGTTGAGGCGTTAGTGGACAGCTTTAACATGTTCGTTTCTAGTTGTGTCTTTTCGAATTCGGTCGGGGCTGATTTGAAATTTATTTCGTGGTAGGCCTAAATAATGAATTTCGACCTTACAGAGAATAGGTTTGGTATAGAACAACATTCATATGTGCCAAGAATGGCGAGGTAGATGGTAACCAAAAATTTAGCATTTATTTAGGTAGATCAGCGTAATTTTAATGATATGGCAATGAATAATTAATTGATCTTATTCTTTATGAAGTTAATTGGAATAGCGCGCTAAATGTTCGTTGTAACTCCGAAAATATTTTTTAACAATGGCACAGGCCTAACTGCTTACCAGCATTTATAAGTATATATATATATATATACATATATGTGAGATAATCCAGCAATTATATGATAATAAAGATAAAAGGCGTAGTACGCTATCTATAAACACAACACCCGGTGAAACGGTCATTATCCTATGCACGTGAGTGACGCCGCACTCTCACTTTCCAGGAACTCATCTGATTGCCACTAGAGGGCGGGTCTAGTCTGCTTATATTTGACCTAGAACCAATCCTATAGAGCTCTGTGGCCAGTATAGTTATAGTTAATACAGCTATAGCTCTAAAGCTAATACAGAGCTCTATAATATAGGATTATACACAAATATGTAAATATATGTGGGAATCATAATGTATCAATATACAAACTCCATGATGTATTTTTTTTTATTGCACACATTATGGATGCTATATAGAAAACTAATTAAATCATATTTTATCATATCATATTTTACTAATTATATCATATTTTTGTTGAGGTTTGTTGTTAAAAACCCATAATTAAAGGTAATTATACAAAATAATGAGCCACATGAAGGAGGTATACTAAGAATTAGTAATATGAAAAGAAATAAGCTTAAAACGATAATTTTATAAAACGTAAATTCTTTAAACGTAATTACAAAATATTACACATAAATATTGTCATTAATGTACATAAGGAATTTACTTAAGGAATTCAATATGAAATAATAACTCCTTTTAATAAAACTCTTATTTTATCTAATTGATTCTGATCATAATATCATCACTTTTAGTTAGATTATAAAATTTGAACTATATTTAAAGTAATGTTTGCGTTAATCCTATTTTTTATTTAAAGGATAAAATACTTAATGCGAATTATTTATTCATATTTTTACTACATTACATAAGGATACATATAGATTATTTGCTGATAATCATAATTGAAAATTCAATATTTTTCAACGGATTTATTGGAAGCTAAATTCTGAATTACTTTCTGATAATTTATGTGCTTGATGGTTAATACCATCAAGTAAGCTTATTCTATTGTATGAATTGAGTTTTTTTTAATTAATTGAGTATTAATACTGTCTGCCACACTGAAGGGCATTGGTACTATTGCTATAGTATTCATTCACACAGTATGTACATAAGAAAAGAAAATAAATTAAAATAACCTAGTAAGGGAAAAAAACAGAAAAAAAATATATATATAACTGAAAAGATAAAGTAATATAGAAGATAAGCAAATTAACAGATTAATGCCGAATGATAATAAAATAAATAAAACACATTCACACCTATAGAGTTTTTAATTTTAATAAACGAATACAAATAAAATTTCAGTGAATCAATAAAAATAAATATTGCACCTTAGGTCTTGGATAGGTGGGATAAGAAAACACTCTCTCGGCTACAAGTACACGTCATTGGAATTATGTGGTATTAAATTAAAAAAATATCATATTTTGAAAGTTATGACGTTTTCTCAGGAAATAAGGGAACTTCATTACAATTAAAAAATTCAGTACTTAACAGCTCATATTATTTTTATTATATTTTATTTTTATTTTTAACTTAATTTTTCCACCCACATCTGCCAGAAATACTGACAGTGAGTCTGCTGGGGAGGGGGGGGGGGATAATAGTATGAAGAATTCATATAATTAAAATAAATTCATAAATTATATATTTATTTATTTTAAAGTCATGGATAGACGCAATACCATGGTTTCACGTCACTTTAGATTAATTAGGAAACCTCAAATAATTTTGAGAAAATTATTAAATTTTCAATTCGAATAAACAATAAATAAAATTATAAAATCTCATTTTGTAGAGAAATAAAACACAGGGTTCAAAGATAATTATATATATTATATTACTAATAATATCTTGTTTTTAAATTATGATTGAAATATCTTTAAAAGAGAAAAAAGTTATTACCAAATGTTTTTCGTTGAATGGCATCAGTGTAATTTAATGTTTCTAATATTTCAAATATAAATCATTATTCAAATTATTGAATTTCTTAAAAATTAATGTATCTTAAACAAAAAATAATTTGAAAAAAATTACATCGCACGGTTAAAAAAAATACATCTCGACGTATTTCTTACAGTAGATATTTGGTTGTTCTATGACAACTTTTTATAATATTAAAATAGGTTTAACGACAAAATAGAGTTATGTCAAAGTGTTTAAGCTATGTATTTATTTAATTTTCCAGTCCTGATAAATCTGGTACATTTTACTATATTATATGTTATTATGGTACCTAATATAAGAAATTATGATAAGCTTATAAAATATATTTTATATTGACATATGAAGTTATTAAGAAAATCTTGAATTTAATACTATTTTAAAATATTAATCATACCAACTGTGAAACCGGCTAAAATGTAGAAAACTTATTATTCGTTTATTATGTTCCTTTTATCAAAATAAAAAAAAATAATATAAAAATTTATTTTATTTCAGACACCTAGTAGCAGAGTTCCTAAGAAGGAAAAATAGAAAACGATATAATTCCAATAAACGATATAAAATCTTAAGATTCTTAAATTTACTCACCTAAACACTGAAAATTTGTGAAATACTTATAAAATATAAACATAAAAGTACTTCTAAATTGCACACGTAAACAAACAAAAAACATATTACTTTGTTTTTAAACATCTAATATATAATATTGTAGCATTACCTTTAAATTTATCTAAGAAATAAGCTTTGTATAATTATTCTGAAAATTATCAAATGTAAATATTAACTTTAGTAAATAAGGAATACATAAAAAAAGAATAAAGTTCTATTCGATACAGGTGATTTGAAGGATCGGCGTAGAAGTGATTTTAACGGTGGGTTAAGTTATTATGTGGAGCAATTATTTAATATTTTTGTGTAAAATGTTTACCCAGATTTTTTCGAAAAGAGTTTCAAATCTAATTTACGTAATTCATAGCTGTGTATTACACGACTTAAGATGCCTCGTTTAAAAACTAAAAAAAAAAATCGAACAAAATTCTCGGCTGGTTTAACATTTAAGTTCAAGCTTAAATGATTTCCAATTTAAAATTACATAAATCTATCAATGAAGCGATTTATTTCGAATACAAAGACGCAAAGAGTGACAAGGACCAACCGAGTTGGAATTCAGCCAAAGACTGAGGAGGCACCTGTACCGGCTGGTGGGGGTCGTGGTGGGGAAGCGGGGCTCCTGATTGGCCAGCGGGCACGTGCCCTCCTAGACCGGTAGTTCACCGTCGGGCTGAGGAGGGGGTAAGGTATAAATAGCCCCTCCGCGACCTGCTTCAGCAGAAACGTTCCTACCATTCTCTTGTACGTGTCGCTCTGTGGATTTAGACTAAAACATCGTACGTGTTGTGTCACACTGTGTCTTGTGTTGTGTTGGATGTACTATCACTGATACCAGCTACGATGCACATCGTTAACGAAGAACCACCAATGAAGTCAGCCTTCAAGAAAGGTGGAAACTACAGCCACTGCCCGCTGAAAAAGAGACCAGTTTTTCTCTTCATCAAGGAAGAAGAAGGTAAGCGTTTTAAATTCAGTCTTAGTCATTTTTATCAGTGAAATTTCGGGTTGTGTAATTATAATTTGATTTTTTGGATTAGACTAAATAATTTTTGAAACTCGCATTGAATTTTATAGTGAAACTTTCTTTTCTCGAAATCTCGACTCTTGTATACTTTCACTTCATCAGTTACGAAGTTAAAATCATATTAATTCCAATTTAAGATCAAGTTTCTAAAGCCTATTAATTCAATAATTTTTTTAAAATTTTTGATCTGTTTAACTAAATTTTTCGTTTGTTTCCAGGTAGAAAAGATGATCGCATTGAGCCTGAGAACCTCAGTACTAAGCCTGAAGATCTTACGTGGAAGCCGGCAACACCTCCTTTGGGCGTAGCCATGATTTCCACCAAACCCGAGACTCCAGAAAGACCAGAACATGGACCACTGGAACCTCTCAACCTCAACACCCCTGAGATCGCCTGGCCGAGACCTTGCTACCCTCCGACTTACATTCCGTACCCTTATCAATACTACTACGGCGAGAAGTGCAGTTCTCCTCCTCAACAGTACCTGCCGGCGCTTCCGCAGCCGCGCCCACTATACCTTCCGTTTCCTGATTGTGGCCTTTCACCTACTTCATCAACTAGCTCTATCAATTCCATCAGTCAAACTACGGTGTATCAAGCTCCTCCAACGCCCGAAGATCTGTCTTCACCGGGAAGTGTTGGAAGCACTGGTTCTTGGTCATCAAGAAAGCGTTCGAAAGAGACATCGCCTAGGTACCAATGCAATTTCTGTAACAAGTCATACTCAACCTACTCCGGCCTCTCTAAACACCAACAGTTTCACTGTTCTGCCAACGAGGAGTCTGCGGCGAAGAAAACCTTCAGTTGTAAACACTGTGACAAAATCTACGTGAGTCTCGGTGCCTTAAAAATGCACATCAGAACTCACACCCTTCCCTGCAAGTGCAAGCTGTGCGGAAAGGCGTTCAGTAGGCCGTGGTTGCTGCAGGGGCACATCAGGACCCATACAGGCGAGAAACCCTTCACGTGCCAGCACTGCAACAGGGCTTTCGCTGACAGGTCCAACTTGAGGGCGCACCTTCAAACTCATTCTGAAGTGAAGAAGTACTCCTGCCCCACCTGCAGTAAGACCTTCTCCAGGATGTCCCTCCTCACCAAGCACACCGACGGTGGCTGTCCTGGTACACATCACGATGAGATGTTTAAACACGAATACAGCCACGATATCACAGCGTAATTCTTGTAAATTGTTTATATGTGTATATTATTTATTTTTCTCACTCCTAAGTCAAGTTGTACATATTTATATAAATTTGTCCTTGTGAGACATTAAGTTCAGTCATAGTTATTTTTACATATCTATATTTTTAGTTACATATTTTCTGAATGGCTATTCAATTTTGTAGAAGTTATTTTGAATGAGTGCCTTTGAAATTAGAAGACTGATTATTTAAATTGTTACTTGCCATAAATTGAAGGTCTCATATTTGTTATATAAATTTTAGTACAAAGACTAAGAAACTGCCAAGTTATTTAATTTTTTTTAATCTAAAACTTAAACATGTTAACTATTGGCTCATATAATGTGCCATTTTAATCTTTGTTAATTTTTACCAACATGAACCCATCGATTATGTATATTTTGTACTTTTTATATTAGCCATTCTAGATGCTAGTCATTTTTTAGATATATATTATAAATTTATAGAAATATATATATATATTTATGAGGTCGAAAAGAAAGACCATGTATATAGAAATAATTTAAAAAGAGAACAATATAAAATATTGTAAATAACTTATAAGTGCCTTAGATCGTACTGAATATATTCCGTTCCTTAAAACAGATTTATATTATTATTATTACCTATTATGAAATTTTTTAATTTTATAATACATATTATTTTTTCCCATAAACTTGTTATATCTTTTACCTTACCCTCTCATGTTTACAATTACATTTAATTTATTTACAAGAATAGTTAAGATGGCCCAATGGGTTCAATATTTTACTTTTCATAAAACAAAGTTTTACTGCGCTGTTGCAAAGCCACAAGAACAATATGGGAAGGGCATTGTGAGAGGGGTTGTGGCAACTTGAATGGTGGGTATGGAGAAAGCCTGCCAGTTTTACATAAGGAGTAGTTTACCTGTTCTATACTGCCTTGGAGGTTTTCACTAAACTGGAGTACTTTAATATTTTTTCAAGATGTAATAAAACAGCATAGAACTGGGAAAAAATATTAAATTTGAAAGTATCAAACTCATTGATTAATTACTTAATATCAGCGAGAATCATGTATGAGTAAGTCATTGTAGGTTATACACACACACACACACACACACACACGTATATATATTTCACATTAATGAAAAATATTATAATAATAAACATTTCATCTTTTCTGTCAATAAAAGCATACCTTAGATTTTATTTTTTTTAATGTGCAGTAATTATTAAAATCCATCTTCATTATTCATGCAAATGAAATAAAAAAAAAAAAAAAATACGATAGTTGATCTTAGGTAATACACGTATTTAAATTATAAATAATAATGTATTCCAATTATTTTTTATTGCTAGTAATAATGCCAATATGTGTTAGTAAAATAAATCAGAAAAGTGATAACTTAAAGACATTGAGTTAATTTACGGAATATGATATTTAACTAATACACAATGGATTACTCATGGCACATAAGAGTTAAAAGGGTGGGAGTAAAACCTTGGAAGTCTGAATTAATAATCAATTATAATGTCAAGATGGACAAGAAATTTATCTTCAAACGAAATGAAATAAAACAATAACTTCGGAAACGGTTATTTCGACTCATTTTCGTGTATTTTTTATTTTGGTAGAAAATTTTACTTAAGAATGTTACAAGTTGACTTTAGATCTGTGTGAGGTATGTTAATCAATTATAACCAGCGTTGTATTTATTTATTTATTACTAATAATTTCAAGCAATAATCCATTTAATAATTTAAAATATGACATTAAATTTAAAAATATAATAAAAGATGCGAAACATTAACATAAATAAATTAATAAAAATTTAAAATATCTTTAATATATTAATCTTCATACATGGGTCTAGGATTATTATACATATATTTTAAATATCGTATTGTAGCTTTTAAATAATATGCAAAGACTCATAGCTAAGCAAGATATTTTCTTTATTTTGACGATTAAATATTTAAAAAAAAGAAAAGAAAAAAAGAGTATAGCATTAAAATTTGTAGATTAGACAACTTAAATCTTTTTTTCATCGTATTTAATTTTAAAAACAAAACATAAAAACTATTTATCTCATCATTAGTGCATTTTTTTTAATTACTTGTTGTGAGTAAAAATAAGAGGTTTTTTTTTCTAGAAACTTGGAACAATTATAATTTTTCCCTCGGGTGTTAAAAAAATAAATAAATAAAAAATAAGAAACTTGCTTCAACAATCTTGAATACAACAAAATACCACTTTCCTTAGTAAGTCAACCTTACAATGATATATAAGGAATACATAATATTAACAAAAGAAAATAAATACATAAAAATTGTTCCACAGGAACTTATAATCAATTATGTTCATAGTGGTAGATTTATCTGTCATTATCTGTTTATCAAGTATATATATATATATATATATATATATATATATATATATATATATATATATATATTGTTTTTTTTTATGCTCGTAGATTCCGAATTATACCACATTCACTAGAGAAATGCCCGAAACTTCCAATATACTACAAAATATGCACTACCACTATCAGACCCATTTGGAGATACGGAACTGAGTTTTGAAGCTCAACAAAATCATCTCATTCCTCTATTATCCAATCCTTAAAGTCCAAAATTCTTAACGCTCATTATTACGTCACAAATGTAAATATTTTCAAAACGCCCTGGTCACCTAAGTCCTCTAGTTAATATCTTTCGGTCCAAAAGCTGAAGTTCTACCAATAGGTGGTTTCTTTACAATTTTTTGTCATGTTTTATGTTTTTATGCCAGATTTTCTTGTTGGATTTCGTTTATACAGATGTAAATTTCTATAAATTAATACAAAAATAAAAATAAAATTTATTGGACACTGTCAAATAATTTGGAGTTTCCTATTTTTATGTAAATAAATCCAAAAGAAAAACGTTGAATAATCGTCATATAAAAGTTTTATTAAGTCTTTAAATTCGTACAGACGAGATACTCTTCAATATGTCATTAAGACGACAGTACAAGCACTCCGAGTTGGAGGAAACGCGAAACTTTCTCCGAAGATATTCATGTTAAACAAGTACTAAGGGTGGTATGTATTGTCTAAGCCCACTTGAATGTTCCGTCAAAACAGAATACTTTTATGAAATTAAATGAAAAAGGACTCCTTTCAGCCAATTTAATGTTATTTCTTCACTTGAACATTGGTGAGAAAACGCTCCGAAGTATCGCTTGAGCATCGAGTAAGTAGAGCTAATAAGGGAGAATGTTTGAATTTGCAGCAGCGTTATTGTTTTATAGAAGTGTCCCTTTAATCAACTTGTCTGAAAGAAGTTCTTTTATTCGGGTTTCAAAAAAGTATTCCTTTTTGACATTAAAGTTTGAGAAACTGCTTTGAACAAGCTCAGCCGTGCAGTGAAAATGTGAGTTATTCCTACCTTCAGCTTCGACAAATCGTTTTCAAGTCTCTAAATACGTCCTTTTTCTCTTTATGCTTGATTAAATTTTGCAACTATAGATAGAAAAAGGGTATTAACATATATTCCAAATTAAATACTTGTTATTATAATGACATCGCAGTACTTGATTATGTCATTATATATATTGCTTATATATAAAAAAAAAATATTATCATGGCAATTTATTCGATCAGAGCGTTGCTAGACACCGTTACGCCTTGTAGCTTATGGCCTGTAGCTTAACGATTCCGCCTTAGCTCTAGAGGTTACCTTGGCAACGCTGATTACTACAATTAAAAGAGATGCAATTAGGAGCAAAGAGAACCGCTCTGACCCAGCCGTTGGGTAAAGGTCAGCGGTCCTCGAGGTCCCATTACTGGACAGTCCCGGCGTTGGCGCAGATGGATGGGTACCGCTCATGAGTGATGAGTGTAGAAAGGAAACGGTCCTATTTTTGTTACGAAACGGCCATTACGAATATGTTTGGACCATTTAGGTTCCATTTATTTTTAATCGGTAGTACATCAATCATAATTAAAGAATGACTTTATTGCATTTTCGTCTGTTCTGCTCTGCCTCAAAGCGTAAACCTATATCGAAAAATAAATTTACTTTTATAATTTATTTGTAAATGATAATATTGCTTCACTGTAGCAATTATTACTATTATTCTTCGACTGCTACACTATGCAAACCCCCTAGATACCTAAACTTCTCTACATGTTCTAACATATAGCCATCTTTACCGATGTCATTAGTAGTATTACCATTTTGCACTACTTAAAAGTTAAAAAAAAAAATATTAATTGGTGTAAAAAGAATTTTTAAACTTTTTAATCGAATAAGTATTTAAAAAAATTAATGTCATCATGTAATAAAATTTTTAATAACTTTTTATTATTTAGAAAAGTACGTAACGATGTTTTTCTCTCCTAACCAAAACCCAATCTTCTTTTGTTCCAAAATAGCTTTTGAAGTTAAATGCCTTCCAAAAGCGTCTCCATGCGTACGATTGTGAATTCCTAATCCATGTTACATTATTCTCTTTCTTGAATTCTTTGGCCAGATAATCTTAAGAAGATTGTTGGAGGTTCGATTGGGATCATTGAATGATAACTTCAATACATATCATAGAATAATTTAATTTAGCTATAATACATATATGGTTTTGTTATCAACGAAACATGGTACTTTAATGACTGCTTGATTATTTTTAAAACATAAAGTAATTTTGTCTTTGTAGTTCTGTATGTAGGGAAACAGTACTTAAAAAATCATATGTCAAAATTGGACATTTTTATCTTCTTGCTTGCTACGAATATAATTATAAAACAAATTTCATATGTCGAATTAGCCCAAGATTAACCTATCTGTAAAATTTAAAGAACGCAAATTAGAGCCAAAACATACCTTGAAGTTTTTTTTTTTTTTTTTTTTCAAAAACGAACCTACACCTTTAGAAAAGTGGACTAAAACTACTTGCATTACTTAAAATTAAAAAAAAATCATCAATGAGTGCAAAAAGAATTTTTAAACTTATTAATCGAATAAGTATTTAAAAAAATTAATGTCGACATAGAATGAAATTTTTAATAGCTTTTTACTATTTAGAAAAGTACGTAACCATTTTTTTTTCTTTCCTAACCAAGCCCCAATCAGCCTTTTTTTTGTTCGAAAGCAGCTTTTGAAGTTTAATGCGTTCTAAATGCGTCTCCATTCAAGTTTTGATGTTTTTGATTACATACTATTAAATATGTGTCAAAAATATAGATTTTTTAATTGATTTTATTGATAAAATTTTTGTTTCCGGTATTATCATAGGAATAGAATGTTTTTTTTTTCTTGGAGTTTCCGGAATATTTTTCAATGATGATTCGTGCTCAGTTTTGGAAATCTTTTGATTGAATATCTTTTTTCGCTTAGTCATATGGAAAATGGTATTCATTATTAATAAGAGATAAAATAATTACATCTCATTCTCATTATTATTTTATTATATTTCATATTATAATTGAATTAATACAGTTGCCTACGGTTATTTAGCCACCGTGGCTGGCCACCATATAGCCACCATCCTGCAGATGGCTGAGGGCTGACACGGACATCAAACCGCCATACGGCCGCCAGTTGCCGGGATCCAAACCGTGAAAATAATTCACCAGCGGACTAATTAATATTTAATGCCGAGGCACGCGACACATGGCGCCTTATGGTTGGCTCATTGGTTAATTG